TTTGCACTACCACAGATGGAAATATCTTCCTAATAGGAAAAAAGTTTTTGAATTATGAGTCATATTATGTTTACCCACTTGATTCCAAAGATCTAGATATATTTGTTGTTTCAAATTTATCACAGATGTTTGAAAGTTGGTCTGTTTCAGATATTAAGAACAAATGCTTTTTGTTTCCAAATAAATTAATTGATAAAAAGAATTTTATAACATTTCCTCTATTACATAATTTGTATTAAGTACAATTTGATTTTTCCCCACTTCTACAAGGTGTCTATCTACTTGGAGATTTAATTCCTAAAAAAACAACATATTTATTGTTTTTAATATGCAGAATCGCCCAAAGAAATTTTGTTGGGTAGTTTTAGGACATATAGTTTTTGTATTAATGAGTTTTTTTATAATGTATTTAAAATAAAAAATTATAATATATTTCTACTCTTTTATTTGAAAGATGCTTTTTCACCAACATACATTTTTTTTTTCAGAAACTCGTGTATTATTTCTTATCTGTATTGATATTTATACTTTTATCTATTTCTAATTGAACCACTACAAAAAACTGTGGCTGACATTCGCTTTAAACCTTTGCTCAGAGCCACCGGCATGTTGGTGCCTCGGGGCAAAAGTTCAAAGGGAATGTCGGCTACAGTTTTTTGTACTAGTTCAATTAGAAATAGATAAAGTATAAATACATTGTACTTATGCTAATCAAATCAAATGCGCACCCTAAAGGCTTTTATGAACGTCCAAGCGTTTACGTCTAAATGACGTCTTTTGGACGTCAGTTGCCTGCCGACATATTGGTCTGGATGAGGTCAAATTCTTTAAAAAATAGACGTCCGAAAGATGTCATTTATATGACGTCCGAAAGACGTCATTTATATGACGTCTTTTGGATGTGACATTACTGCGTCTTTTAGACGTCATTTTGGACGTTCAATAGGCGTCCCTTAGACGAATGCGCTGACGTCTTACGGACGACTTATGGACGTCAGGTGCTACCTGGGCACTTAAAAAAAAATATTACATAATTGTTTCATAGCGATCTTCGTCTTAATCTGCGCTGACATCTAATTTTGTTGAACATTACAAATCAACTCCCTACTTTGACGCGCCGTAGAGCAGGAACTATTGGACGCAGACAAAAAAAATGTAGAGGTCAAAATTGTGCACGATTTTGTCCTGTACATAATTTATTTGAACTTTTTTTCGATAGCACTTACCACAACAGCGCTATTTCCCAAAAAGCGTCGCGACGCAGAGTTTTCATCCCTCCACCCCTCGAGCGACAACCCCCCGAGGTCGAAAACTTAAGTGTATTGTCAAATAATATATTTAGGGTTCATGTACTATAGGTAAAATAGTTAAATAATTATTCATTTATTAAAAAATATTTATCTCATATTAAATTATTATTTTCATTTGTCACATTCATTGTTTAGTTTATTTAAAGATATTATTTCTAAAGAGGAAGTGTAAATTCAAGTTTCTTAATTAATTGATACTTTTATGGAAATTCGTTGAAGTTGCAAAGACAGCAGTAAACGCGGTTCAACGAATTAGGGAGCGTTCAAGTATTACGTAACGCATTTTTTGAAGATTTTTAACCCCCCCTGCCCCCCATGTAACGCGCCGCAACGTTTTTCTGTATCCCTCCCCCCCTAGTAAAACGTTACGTAACCACCAAGTGACTATTTTTATCTAAAAATCACAATTATGTGGCGTAAAGTACCGGAAAGTCGCTAAAATACGCGACTTTCCTGAAGGGTTAAAAAATAATAATGTTACGTAACGGGAAGTTCAACTCCCCCCTCCCGCCCCTGTAACGCATCGTAACGTTTTACAAAACCCCCCTCCCCCCCAAATTCGTTACGTAATACTTGAACGCTCCCTTACCTGATCAAGCAAAAGTGCATGAACCCGAACTTTCTTTATAAAATATTAAATATAATTAATCACTTGGTTTTGAAGAGCGACACAAGCACCATCCCTCTTAAAATGGTGTACCCTTGGTGAGTACCTAATTAATTTGTTATTTTTATCATTATTCAATGGAGATTGTCTTTTTCCTTTTTTAAACTAAATCATTTACTTATTAAATAAATATTCTCAATTATTATTATTATGTTTTATTAAAGTAGTTCTACCATCTAGCTATAATTAACCCCTCAGCTCGTTTAGGAAAACATAAAAACCCTAAATGCGGCAGTATTAATAGGGAACCCATGTCTACCATCCCACCAAATTTAATTTTTTTCGACCTTTTGCGAATAGAAACCACCCACAGCTTGGACTGCATTGTTGGTAACGAAAATCACTTTACAAAAATTAATAAATAAGACTAAAACACGAAAAACATAACAGTTAATTTAAATAGTTATAAAAATATCATACTTTGACCGAAACTTGCGAGTGTACAAAATTTACGGCAGCTTACGTTTGGCGAAGGCTTTTACGCGATATCCGGTAATTTTCATGTTGGAAATTTCGCGACTTTTCCAACAGCATTTAGTTTGACTACAAAAGCGATGAGTGTATAAAAATAACGTCGATATAGTAATTTTTAACCCTGTAGGCTAGATATAGAAAATTATACAGGGTGTATCAACGATGCGTGGGTGAACGATAGCTGCTTCCCTATATGAGATAGGAAAAAATGCTTCAAATAAAAGTTGTAGAGGGCATTGAAAGCTACGTTCCAAAAATAACTACCAATATACAGGGTGTCCGATAAATGTATGAGTTATCGAAGTAATGTTTTTTTAAAGGAAACACCCTATATATTTTTACTCGATTAAATTTCTTTGGAAGAGTGTTTCTCAAAAATATCTTATACTGGGTGGTTAGGAATTTATGGTGAGATTTAGGTAACAAATTGGGTTTATTCAACATCAAATATCTCTAAATCAATAATTTGGAATAAATTTTTTTTCTGCCGAATATTCTCGAAAATAGTGTATTTTCATTTCCTATTCATAATTTTACCGAATGGCGCTTTTCCCATACAGGGGCAACCAAAACTCGGGACCACTTTTTTCTCAGTTTTTTCAAATGGAACACCCTGTAAATGAGGCCATACCAGGATAGCCCATACCATGAGCTTTCAGAAAATGTAGGGTTTGCCTACTTGATTTTTATCGGAAATGTATCTAATTCTTAAGGAAAGTATAAAAAAGTTATAAAAGCAATAACTATTTATTTATTATAAACGAACAATTATTTAAAAAAGCGTATATTCACAGCAAATGTTTAAACAATCTCGCATTTTAAGCTATGCCCGAATTAATCATATCTACAATTGCTCTTCGAACTTTCATTAAAGTTGATCTTGTAATACAGCGAAAAATCAAATCACCCTTGAAACATTTAAACGTTATAGGAATTTGACATTTAATTATCGAGGAGGAGAATAATTTATAGTTGAAATTTAATAATTTTTCGCTTCAAAATGAAATTATCCACCGAAGAAATGATAAATATGATCTACATTTTGGGTGAGTGTGATAGAAATTGTTTATTAGCCAGTAGAATGTATGCAGTTCGATACCCTGATTCAAGGTCTATACGACCAGAGACTTTTCGGAGGGTTAAAGAAAGATTTGACGAAACAGGCAGTGTCAAGCACGAGAAAAGGCAAGTAGTAAACAAAATTGCAACAAATGAAGAAAATGAATTAGCGGTGATCCTTTCAACAGTAGAGAATCCTCATGTTAGTACGAGGGAAATTGCAAGAACAGAATATTGATAAAAAATAAACTTCATCCATACCGAATTGAATTACATCAAGAACTTTATGAAAGGGATTATGACACCAGAGTTCGCTATTGCGAAAATATATTGAATTTCATTCGCGAGGAACCAAATTTTCTAAAATGCATTTTGTTTAGTGACGAGTCAACATTTAAAAGTAATGGAATAGTAAATAAACACAATTGCCACTACTACTCAACAGAGAATCCACATTGGGTCAGAGAAATTGATTACCAAAATAGATGGTCGATAAATGTTTGGGGGGGGCATAATTGGGGATCAGGTCATAGGACCACATTTCTTTGATGGTCCACTGAATGGGGAAATTTACAGAGATTTTCTCTGAGATCATTTACCAATTTTGTTGGAGGATGTACCTATTGACACCAGACTCAGGTTATATTACCAACATGATGGCGCGCCTCCCCACAATCAAAATCAGGTAAGATGGTTTTTAAACAGATGGCGCAGTAATAAATAGATAGGAAGAAACGGACCCATTCAGTGGCCAGCAAGGTCTCCAGACCTCACGCCTCTAGATTTCTATCTCTGGGGATATGTTAAAGGAGAGGTCTACCGCGAAAAACCAACGACACCAGAAGACATGAAGAATAGAATTAGAGAAGTTTTTCACTCTATTACAAAATCAACTTTAATTGAAGTTGAGAAGAGCAAATGTAGATAGACTTAATTTGTGCATAGCTCAAAATGGGAAATTATTCGAACATTTGATGTGAATTTATGCTTTTTCGAATGAAATAAATAGTTATTGCTTTTATAACTTTTTTATACTTTCCTTAAGAATTAGATACATTTCCGATAAAAATCAAGTAGGCAAACCGTACATTTTCTGAAAGCTCATGGTATGGGCTATCCTGATATGGCCTCATTTACAGGGTGTTCCATTTGAAAAAACTGAGAAAAAAGTGGTCCCGAGTTTTGGTTGCCCCTGTATGGGAAAAGCGCCATTCGGTAAAATTATGAATAGGAAATGAAAATACACTATTTTCGAGAATATTCGGCAGAAAAAAAATTTATTCCAAATTATTGATTTAGAGATATTTGATGTTGAATAAATTCATTTTGTTACCTAAATCTCACCATAAATTCCTAACCACCCAGTATAAACCCATACAACCCTATATTTTTGAGAAACACTCTTCCAAAGAAATTTAATCGAGTAAAAATATATAGGGTGTTTCCTTTAAAAAAACATTACTTCGATAACTCATACATTTATCGGACACCCTGTATATTGGTAGTTATTTTTGGAACGTAGCTTTCAATGCCCTCTACAACTTTTATTTGAAGCATTTTTTCCTATCTCATATAGGGAAGCAGCTATCGTTCACCCACGCATCGTTGATACACCCTGTATTTATTATCTATCGACAGGAAAAAAAAATTGCAAAAAAACGATAGGAAGGTGGCACATTTTTTAAATTGTTAACAATTTTTTATAACGTAAAACGCAAACGATACTAGTGCGACTAACGACAGATATTACTACTGCACAATATATTACCCGACATAGCCATAAAAATTTGGCCATACTAGTGATAAACTCAATATTTTGCAGTGGGCTCCATAAAATTATTATGTTACAATATCTCGTTTTTCTAGAAACTATTTGACAATGAGTACACCTTTCAAAACTTTTATAGTATCCTACATTTTCAAACATCAAAAAGAAAATTCAACTCTACATAAAATACCATGCTTTTTAAAAACTAAACAAAAATCAAACTCAACGGTACGAGTTATTACCTTGATCAAAACAACTAGGATTGATTAGATTAATCAGTTCGTTCTCGGTGAGTGACGTAAAACTCTGTGGTATCATTCTGTCGACATTTTCTTTGTCATCTTGAGTCGTAGAAACAATCATCTCTTTGCCACTCATTGTCATATTACCATAAGATCTTGAAAATGTATCTGCAGTTGTAGTAGTTAATTGACTCGTTGGTGATTGTAAATTGGTCCCCAGATCGTTGATCCTTTGTTGAGTTTCAAGTAAATCGACGGCTGCTTTTAGTAAGACTACTTTTTCTGGTTCTGTGGTTAAAGCAGCTGCAATTTCTGTTTGAGGAGTCGCCATTAAGGACTGTTGTGGCGAAGGGGCGTTCATAAGAACCTGCTCGCCGACTGTATTAGGCTGACACATGGATAAATTAGGAGCGGGTGGCATCAAAGTCTCTTGTTGAATACTATTTGTATTACGACACATCAGACTGGGAGATATTTGAGAATTGAGTATAACTTCAGAAGTCAGGTTAGGGGAGTTATTAGAAATTGGAATTTCTGTTTGTCCGAGGACAGTTGAAGACATAGGAGTAGTGTTTATAATAGGAGGAACCATGAGAGTTGGCTGAGAATTTAACATGACGTCTTGAGTAGCCATCATGACATCTGTAGTACTTAAAGAATTCGTTTTGGTAGGGCTTAAGTGTGATTCTACAGTGGAATTAACCAAAGCATCCAGTCTATCAGTATTTATTGGAGTAGGAACACTTCTTTCTAAAGCAGTAGCAACTGTAGTAATGGCCGAGGAAGCCATAGTCCTGGTCTGTTCTGGCAACGTTTGCTCGGCAACATCAGCACTTTCCGACTTTGCTACTATATTCATAACATCGTTTTGAGTCGTACTGGACATAAATGGTCTTCCAGTGCTAGGAAAAACGGGTTCTCTTGTGTTCAAAAGGCCATAGTTTTGCAAATTAAGAGTTTTCTGAACAGCAAATACGTTGGAATCTGTACTTATGGTTTGCGATAGTTTCTGGCTAATATCATTCTTCATCAATAGACCAGTGGGATTGGTCAGAGGAATCATACTAGGTTTAGCTTCAATTTTATTCAAATAATTTTCAACGCTCTGTGCACTTTGAGTAGGCAATGGTGCCGTGGGATGTTCCATGATACCGAACCTTTGTAATGCAGCAATAGATGGTGCTGTGGTATTTACCAAATCAGCAACAGTAACCATAGGCATCTTCATACGTAAGTCCATAACATTTTCTATAGCAGTCGTCTTCTCATTTAGAAGTGTGGAAATAGTTGTGGCCGGATTCATAGCAGTGCTGCAAGTACTATCTTCGTTCATAGATGACATACTGGAGTTACCGCAGTCTAAAGAACTCTCACAAATCGAGTTTACCCTGTTCATACAAACCGGGTCTTCGTTTCCGACACTTATATTTGAATTTTCGTTAATGTGACTCATCATAGAGTTTTCATTGATCATCGACATATTTGAATCGCCGTGATGAACGTCCAGCGAACTTTCCGATAAATGCCTGTATCTCTCTTGATCTATAATAGAGCCTTGACTTGTCTCATCAATATATTCCTGTTTTAGCCCATGCAATGGCGGCGAATGGGCATCGCTCGTAGAAGGCAGGTTAATAGACGGTCTTCTTGTAGATATCGGCACCATACTCGTATCTGGCGGCGGCATCATGTCCAAATCTTGCTCCCTCTTGCTAATAGACACGGACGAGTGCCAAAAGTTGCTCTTGAAGAACTGTGGTGGCTGCTGTGGTGGTGGCGTAGGCTCGACCATAACTGTAAATTATGAAAAATATGTTATTTACTGGTTCAAGCACTGTTTGATTCCTATTCTAATAGCTGCCAGCTCAGCCGCTGTAAGAAAAGAGGGGATTTTGCCACTCAAGCTATGTGGTACTTGTATATTAGCTAATAACAATTTGCAATCTATGTTTTATATATTAATAAACAATGCAAATAATAATTTTAAACTAGAATTGTTTCTAGGACGAACTAGAAGCAAGAGTAATTAACTCAAACGTATACGTACACAATTAATGTGTTTTTGGACAAAAACATTGGAATAGTTGGTACCATTCCTTTAAAAATAAACATTTTCTTTACGATTAACCAGGAAAGACTTATTCAATATAGTAAGTATGTTAAAATACGGATTAGTAATGACTTTTGCAAAAAGAAATATTATTAACATACACAATAATGGTATGAAAAAGATGAAGGAACAAACAGAAGTCATTTTAAAATTTTATCATTTATAAATTTGTTAAAAGTTCCCTTTATTTTGCTTTTGACCAAGGCTTGATAGGCATGACCCACAATGTTGACGCTTTGCATTCGTACATATATCAGAACCATCTATATCATGGTCATCAATCTCACCCTCGCATCTATGCTTTCGGTAACTAGTTTTATATTTTAACAGGGAAAAGGAACTTCGTGATAGTGTAAAAATGATTTAGTAAAAACTTAGCCAAAGAATAAGACTAAGTTTCGGTGGACAAGAGTTCCCTCTTTGTAAGAAACCTCTCTACCGATATGATCGTTAACTGGGGTTAGTTTTACCAACACCTTAAAGTTTAATTTAAAATATGTAATAAATATTATTCCACTATAACCATAAATAAATAAATAACAAGGTATTTGAAAAAAAAATTTTTAATACTTTTTATCGAAGTATTTATGGTTACTTATATATAAGGCAATCAACCGAGCAAGGGAGACTCCAGGGGGGCATAGGGGTCATGCTCCCCCACCCCCGAGAAGAAAATTCTTATGATTTAAGAGACTTTTATTCAAAAAATATGCAAAAAAGGGAATATCTAAAGGCAATGCCCCCCCCCCCCCCCTCCGAAAATTCGTCTTGGAGCCGTCCTTGCAACCGAGTGCTTTTAAATAAATGAAAAACATTGGAATTACATTTAATGATAAAAATGTATAAAAGCAGATTTATGTTTATTTTTAACATAAATAGCGAATCAATAGTTTAAAAGCAAACTGAACAGCTTGAACATTTTTATTTTCTTTCTAACCTTTATTTTTAGTTCGATTTTTGTGAAATTTTTAGGAAATACCAATTTTAACAAAACTTTTTTGTAAACCTTCGAAAAAAGTATTTATTTTGATAATTTTTAAAAGGAATAAAAACAACATTCTGTATTAAATCTATTAAAATTTGCTACTTTTTGTTTTAATAAATATCTAGTAGTTTTTAAATTTTTCTGTAAAGAACTGCCTTTATAGTTGCATGAAATTTAAAGCTCTCAATAGTCTCGAGACACAAAACATCGCGAAATATTTCCAGTGGCGCGCATATACAAATTTATATTAGAAAATTTTTACTAAATTTTTGCTTTTCGCGAGGTCCGGTTTGCTATTAAGCATTCCAAACAAATAAATTGCCAGTAGGAAGGTTTGGTATAAATAAGGGTTGCGACATACGATTATTCTATCTACTATACGTAAAATCATAAATATTTTATGTCAAACACAACAAAAATAATATTTAAAAAACCCATTTATAAATTTCTTCATAAATTGGCAAGCTTGGCGACTACTATTTCGAATAAAAATAGCGTCCAAGATGCAATATTATGTCCCTTAGTTATAACGACAACTTTCCACTGGCACCTATTGTTTGACAGGTCGTTGTCGTTGGAATGTATAATTAATGAAAAATCAAAGAAAATTAATTTTAAGAGTTGCTTATGTTTTTTTTTTAATAAACACAGGTTAATAATGGAAAATGATTGTTATTCGAAAGCACACATTTTCCATTATATTTAAAATGTAATACAGAAAACAAAAATTGTTATACTAACACTTATAACACACTTTTACATTTGAAGGTTCTTGTTAAAAACATGCTTTTCAAACTCGATTTTTTGGAACATTTTTAAAGTGCTAATGCAATTTAAGGTGAAAAATATTAGTTTTGCGTTTTGTTTAATAGGTTATTTGTATTTTTTTTATAACTATTTCACCTCATTTTTATATTGATTAGTATCAAAATAAAGAAAATTCAATTTTATTATAATCAAATTGATTACTACACACATAACCCTCGTTCAATGTGGAAAACTTTGAAAAAATTAATCAATCTAAAACAGTTTATAATATTGAATGTGAAAACAATAGTCAAAAAGTCCTTATTAGAGAAAAAATTAATTAACAAATTGTTTTAATAGATTTTTTTGTGAAAAGTTGAAAATATTATTTCTAGCATAGATGTTGAGTTTACCTGTCACATTGGTTACTATGATAGTTTCAGCAAATTTAAAATATTAAATCTTCAAGAATTAAAAGTAATTGTATCTAATTTAGCACACAAAGGGTCGCAAGTTGATGCAATATCTAGTAAAATAATTATAAAGAGCAGCCTTGAAGTAATTGGACATATATCTGGTGTAATTTAATAAATACCTCTCTAGAAATTCATTATAAAATAGATGAAAAAGAAAAGCAACAAATAATCTAAAAATCTTTAATATTTCGAAACAAACTCGAAACTGGTTAAATTACAGAAAACAATCGTTTTGAATTAGAAGTTTTAAGTAAACGCTAATTAGGTGTAAAATAAGAGAAATTCAATATAAAACAGATAAAAAAAAAACAAGATAAAACAAAAACTTTTTTGGTTTTGATTGGCTTTTTTTAGTTTTTTGTCTTCTTTGGCATTTTTGACTGTTTTTAGCTTTTTTTGCTCTTTTTGACTTTTCGCTTTTTGTATTTTTATGAATTTTTTAACTTTTTTTGACTTTTTGATTTTGACTTTTTAATTGTTAACTTTTGACTTTTTGACTTTTTTGACTTTTTTGACTTTTTTGACTTTTTTGACTTTGACTTTTTTATTTTTTTGACTTTCTTGACTTTTTTGACTTTTTTTTTACTTTTTGGACTTTTTTGTTGTTTTTTTTGACTCTTGACTTTACTTTTTTTACTTATTTTGACTTTTTGGCGTTTTTTTGACTTTTTGTGCATTTTTTGGACTTTTTGGGCTATTTTGAAAAAATTTCAAATTTAAAGTTGTACTGAATTAAATTAGTTATAATAGAAATTAGGCTTTGATTGGCTTTTTTAATTTTTGCCTTTGACTTTTTTTTTACTTTTTTTTTACTTTTATTTTACTTTTTTTTACTTTTTTGACATGTTTGACTTTCTTGACTTTTTGACTTTACTTTTTTTATTTTTCTTATTTTTTTTGACTTTTTGGACTTTTTTTTTTACTCTTGACTTTAGTTTTTACTTATTTTGACTTTTTGGCGTTGTTTTTTTTTTTACTTTTTGGGCATTTGGACTTTTTGGGCTATTTGGAAAAATTTTCAAATTTAAAGCTGTGCTGAATTAAATTAGTTATAATAGAAATTAGGCTTTGATTGTCTTTTTTAGTTTTTGCCTTTTACTTATTTGGATTTTTTTTTTCATTTTTTGACGTCTTTCGCTTTTTGTATTTTTTTGCTTTTTTTCTGACTTTCAACTTTAATTTTTTGTATTTTTGACTTGACTTTTTGATATTTTTTATTTTTTTACTTTTTGACTTTTTTAACTGAATTTTTTGACTTTTCGACTTTGACTTTACTTTTTTGACTTTTTGACTTTTTTATTTTTCGACTTTTTTGACTTTTTTGACTTTGTCTTTTTGACTTTATTGATTTTTTGACTTTTTGACTCTTATTTTTTTGACTTTTTTTATTTTCTTTTTTTTTTTTTACTTTTTTTGACTCTTTTGATTCTTTTGACTCATTTGACTCTTTTGACTCTTTTGACTCTTTTGACTCTTTTGACTCTTTCGACTCTTTCGACTCTTTCGACTCTTTCGACTCTTTCGACTCTTTCGACTCTTTCGACTCTTTCGACTCTTTCGACTCTTTCGACTCTTTCGACTCTTTCGACTCTTTCGACTCTTTCGACTCTTTCGACTCTTTCGACTCTTTCGACTCTTTCGACTCTTTCGACTCTTTCGACTCTTTCGACTCTTTCGACTCTTTCGACTCTTTCGACTCTTTCGACTCTTTCGACTCTTTCGACTCTTTCGACTCTTTCGACTCTTTCGACTCTTTCGACTCTTTCGACTCTTTCGACTCTTTCGACTCTTTCGACTCTTTCGACTCTTTCGACTCTTTCGACTCTTTCGACTCTTTCGACTCTTTCGACTCTTTCGACTCTTTCGACTCTTTCGACTCTTTCGACTCTTTCGACTCTTTTGACTCTTTTGACTCTTTTGACTCTTTTGACTCTTTTGACTCTTTTGACTCTCGACTCTTCTGACTCTTTTGACACTTACTTTTTTGACTTCTCGACTTTTTTTAACTTTTTAACTTTTTTTTTCTTTTTTTTTTTACTTTTTTGACTTTTTTTACTTTTTATCTTTTTGACTAATTGATTTTGTGACTTTTTGAATTTTTTGACTTCTCAACTTTTCGACTTTTTTTTTACTTTTTACTTTTCGACTTTGACTTTTTGTTGAAATTTTGACTTTTACTTTTTTTGACTTTTTTTACTTTTTCGACATTTTTGACTATTTGACTTTTTTGACTTGACTTTTTTAAATTTTTGACTTTTTGGGCAGTTTTGCCTTTCTGGGAATTTTTTTGTAAACATCTGAAACTGTCCAATGTTCGTTTGGAGTTGACGTAAACTACGTACGCAAGTTCTCAAAACTAATGAGTATAATTTTGTCGATTCCGTTTACTTTTACCGTATTTTGTTGTCAGTTTTATCTATACGGCAACATTTTAAAGTATAGTCTGTCATTTAGAACACGTCACAATTCACCTTAG